TATTTGATTTTAAGTAAAAAGTGAGCCTTAAAATATTCCTATTACATACAAATGAAACATTATATTAGGTAGTCATTGGTGTCAATTCTGGCATGATTCTCTAAACCTAAACTTAAATTTGACAACAGTGTATCCTTGTCACGGTCTGCACAGAATGAAAAGGAGAGACTGATGTCAAATTTAGTTTTAAGTTTAGAGAATCATGCCAGAATCGACACCATTATTAATGTTTATTTTGTGAAACACATTGGTATCGATTCTGGCATGATTCTCTAAACCTAAACTTAAATTTGACAGCAGTATATCCTTGTCATTCTCTATACAGAATGAATAGGAGATAATGGTGTCGATTCTAGCGTGAGTCTCTAAACTTAAAACTAAATTTAACATCAGTCTTTCCTTTTAATTCTGTATAGAGAATGACAGGGATGCACTGTTGTCAAATTTAAGTTTAGCTTTAGAGAATCATGACAGAATCGACATCACTGATGTTAAATTTAGTTTTAAGTTTAGAGAATCACGCCAGAATCGACACCATTGTTAGTGGTATCGATTCAGCTATGATTCTCTAAACTAAGGTAAGGTAGGCACTGGCGGCTCAAAAGTGATCCGCTTAAATTGTGTTGCATGACCATAATTCGCTTTAGTCACAATTGGACATTCAAACACGCTGCATTTGCACTCAATATAACAATATTCCGTATAATCTGTTATAAAGATATAACGATGCTTTTATAAAGAACACAAAATCAAATAACAAATGCCTAGGCAACTGTAAGCATATTTTTTTCTCAAAAATCAACGTTTGTATGAATTTAAGTTACTGAATCGACATTTTGTTATCAAGAAAAGGACATAAAATAATACAGCTGAGCCGTACGGACTCGGAAGCAGACTCGCCGTTTCGCTCACGCTGGGTTGACGCGTACAGTTCTGTCTCGCTAGCTCGATTGAATGTATAAATACAGACATGTACGTGTGTGAGAGTTGCTTATGCAGTTGTGTCGGATCATATTTTATTTGATGCTAGTATGAGCTTACCGTATCTTCCCTTTTTGTTTTAATCTAAGTATTTGGCGTATGATTTGATGTTTGCTTGACAGAAAATGTATGGTGGGCCGAGTGATTTTCGCTTAAGTGACATCTAATTCGTATAGTAAAGGCACTATGTAACTTTTTAAAAAGAGAATATTTATAAAATATTATTTTATGTATAAGTAAGTTTTTATTTTATGGCGCTACTTCTCATTCACAATTAATTCCTTTGTTGCGTGCCACAACAACTAACGGATTGATGGCAGACGCATCTGCGGACGTAAAATGCCCACGTACGACAGACGCGCAAACTACACGTCGACAGACGCATCCGCAAATAGAATCTGCAGATGCATCTGTCGATATGTAGAGGGAACACAACGTGCAACCATAGTTCAAATGCAACGTGCGTAGACAGGGTAACCTATGGACTAAATCAAAATTGCATCTCTTTTACTCTGAAGCCAAATAGATTTATACAAAAATCACATACCAGAAAGAGAAGTATATATACCTTTTTTTGTCTTCGTCGTTGTAATTGTATCCCATGAAGTTACATATTTATGATTCTGCGGAACCCAGTTTGGGAACCACTGCTCTAGAGGTATTATTAAACATATAAAAACTGAAAAAACGTGGTCATATTTAAAAAACCACTTAAGTCATTTTTATCAAAGACCAGTTTTTATTCTATGTAAGATTTCTTCAATTTTAGTAGTACCTAGTTAATTTAAGCAAGACGTTATTTTTTTGTTAATGTTCCTACGTAATGTTATTTTATTTGAAATTATATTTTTATTGAATGCTATTCCTGATCGTTAAGACCTATTCTAGACGGATGTAATCCAGCGTGCCAACCAAGGTGACCTTGATGGGAAGTTGGTTTCCATTCCCGTTATGATTTTAGGCTACACGGATATCCCTCTCCGGCGTAGACAGGTGGGCCGAAGAAGGCAGGCAGCGGTGACTGCCGGTCTTCGACGGCCCTAAGGTGGTCTGGGCGCGGCCTGACCAGCCAGTCCTAGGTGCCGTTCCGGCATAGGCTACCACGTCTGGGGACTGCCTAGTACCCTAGCGCAGTCCCCCTGAGGCGCGTCGCCCGGTCCACTCGTTGGGCCGGGCCTGCCCGGGGGCGTGCTCGGAGATGTGGCGCACGCAGGTGCGTCGGCCCCGAGACCGCCCCCATATGGGCGTAGGAGGGTACCGGGGGGTTTTAGTGGAGTAGGATCAGTGTGGCCTTCCGCACTGGTCCTGCTTGAGTAGGGTCGGCACTGTTTCCCGTGCCGGCGAGTCCCACACACGCCGTGCGCCTAGTCAGCGTCACGGTATGGTGCGTAACTGCATTTCCCATCGTCACAAAAAAAAAAAAGGCTACACGGATGTAATCCACGCGCCAACACGCAATCGCGAGCCGTCTTATGGCGTGAAAACACGTATGCACTTGTATCATGCGCGGACTGTATTAGTAACCGTGTTGTAGAAATGGCTCTAAATTTGTCTAAATTTCAAATGGTGGTGGTTCCATCCATCCATCCATCAGCCTTTCTCCGTCCACTGCAGGACATAGGCCTCCCCCATAGAACGCCACAATGCGCGGACCTGCGCTATCCGCATCCAGCGGCTCCCAGCACATTTGACGATGTCGTCAGTCCATCGTGTTGAGGGTCGCCCCACGCTGCGTCGTCCGGTATGTGGTCGCCACTCGAGGACCTTTCTTACCCAACGGTTGTCAGATCCTCGAGCGATGTGGCCTGCCCATTGCCACTTCAGCGTGCTAACTCTTCGGGCTATGTCGTACACACCGGTCCTTCTACGGATCTCCGTATTTCGGATCTTATCACGTAGGGAAACACCGAGCATAGCCCTCTCCATAGCACGCTGCGCGACTTTGAGCTTTGTTATGAGGCCGACATTCAGAGACCACGTCTCAGTCCCATAAGTCATCACTGGTAACACACACTGGTCATAGACCCTTCTTTTCAGGCACTGGGGAATTTTGGCCGTGAGGATGTGCCTAAGCTTCCCGAACGCTGCCCATCCGAGTTGGATTCGTCGGTTGACCTCTTTCTCTAAGTTGGATTTGCCCAACTGGACTGTTTGTCCTAGCTGGACTAGAATGGTGGTGGTTAAGTCAACTTAACAGTTTTGTGTACAATAGACGACGAAAAACAATAAAAAAGAGAATGTGGATGAAGCGTTGTTTACAATAGCTAATGATTGTCAGCCATTAACTCTCAACTTATTGGAGTTATTGGACTTTAATGATTATCATAACATCCTAAGAATACGTGCACGCATACGTGTGCAGCCGCCGACTGCCACAGCACAACTGTCTTTGGTTGGATGTAATCCGCAGGCCAAACGGTTGTAATCCACGCGCTCCAACCGCGGATGGAAACACGCGGCCGTAATCCAAGGATGTTGAAGGTCAAATCAAAATTTGGATTACATCCTTCGTCTAGATGGATGGCAATGGGCAAGGTCGCCTTTGTTGAGACCCTGGATAACATCCGTCTAGCATAGGCTTTATTAATTAAGTTAGTTACTGATATGTTCAAGTTAATTTTAATTTAATTGAATTATTTTTTTTAATAAAGGACATTTTATTATTAATTGCGATACCCTGTCAGGGTTCATGTGTCTGTATCTACATTTTTTATTAAATTTAAACCATTAAATAGTATTGAATGCAGCCATTGAACGTCCATGCTTGCGCAACTGACAATGACAGGTGACGACTAGGGACACGATATCGAATAGAAAGTATCGATACTATACTCATGAGTAGTATCGGTAAAAAAGTATCGTACTCGTAAAAGTATTGAAACAAAAGTATCGATACTTCAAAGTATCAAGTTCATCCCATAGGGCCATATCGGATCCTTTGGGGCCTGATGAGCAACCCCCCCCCCCCCCCGGGTTAAAATTGAAAGAAAAACAATCAAATTTTACTATAGTACATATAATCAAAAACAAAAAAAGGACATGTTTATTCACAAATTGCTATATTGGTGCCGATTCTAGCATGATTCTCTAAACCTAAACTTAAATTTGACAGCAGTTTATCCTTGTCATTCTCTATAAAGAATGAAAAGGAGAGCCTGATATTAAATTTAGTTTTAAATTTAGAGAATCACGCCAGAATTGGCACCATTATCTAGCTATTCTTAAAAATGTGTATTGTTAATATAATCAACTACAAAACTAAAGTGCGTAATTAAATATATAATGAAAAGAAAATAACTGTAGTTTCTGACACTAAAAAGTGTTCATTAATATTCATAATTAAAATTTTAATTAAATAGATCAAAATCTTAAACAATTTAAAAGTATGATACTTTTCAGATTTGTTACAAGTTAAACTTACTTTTCTTGAATTTTAATCATTAAAAAACATTATACCCACTTAGTTAACTTGAACCTGACACGCAGTTAACGGCGGCCATTGGCATGCTTCACTTAAGATTATAATTATAGAAGAGGTTACGTCTGTCTTTTTTTCAGATCCGTGGTTTCAAATAGGTATACACAGCACAGACAGAATAATAGTGTTACATTTGCATAAATCAAATACAGTCAAGCGGAAAGCACAATAAACGGCGAATCAATCACAGTTCCTTATAATATGGTCGCTTAATAAATAATTAGAAACAAAACAAAGCGCAAAATAAATACAGTCACAGATTGGATAGAATTTGAATATGTCAGTTACTGACTTTATAAGAACGCAATGGAACGTTTTAGAAGGTTTGCTATGATTTAACAAGATGGCGTTGCCATCAATATGAGGTGCTTATCCAAATTTTTAAAGGTATCGATACTTGCCAAAAAGTACTCATTTAGTTAAAGTATCGAAACAAAGAATCGAGTACAAAAGTATCGGTATCGAAAGGAAAAATCCTTGATTCCACAAAGTATCGATACATTTTTCGTGTCCCTAGTGACGACCGACAATTTGACAATGACAATAGTCTGTGACAATGACATTGACAAATCTGTGTTTTTTGATACGGTTTGGTCGTAAAAATATTACCTTAAAATTATTAAACTTAGAAGTTGAAACTTTTATTCAATATTACCTAATTATATTTCTAATATCTTTTTGACCGCCTCGCTTAAACTGATTATTTATTTTGAGCATAATCAAAATTTAGCTATAAAATTATGTTTCCGCAGTGTTAATTTTATTGTGCCTTTTTTATTACCAATAACTAAACAAAATCATATAATGTTGCCTTCCCTTGCTGTTAAATGGTTTTATCGGAAGTTAAGCAGGAGTCCTGCAGAATTTAAGTACTTACACACGCTTAATTCTAGCAATTTGAAGGCACTTCAAGATTTTTGTGTTGATAAGAAAATTTGGAGATATGTAAATACTTCTATACATGTTTACGATAAAAGCAACCCCAAAGATGTCAAGGTTTATGCCGATAAATCTGCCGTCAAAACCGATCACAAAATCATTAAGCAGGGTGCCACTGGTGACATAATCATTAAAACTGAAACTGATGACAATGTTGTAACAAAAGTTACTATAGAAAAGTTGCAAGCTACTACACTTCCAACCAAACCAAAAGAACCAGCGCCAGGTATTACTTTCCCCTAACTCTTGGTCTCACTGGTGTGTACAGTGAGAATTGTTTTCTTTATAGTTACACTGACAGTATTGTAAAATTAGCTACCTACTACTATTGACTCATAACAAGTGTTATTACATCTTATATAAACTTGTTAACCAATCGCATTCAATAGTGCTGTCATTCGCAAGATACATAACAAATTCAATTATAATTATGTAGCATACTTCTTTTAGTTCAAACCATTTCAAATATAATACACTTAAATATTTCAAGAAAAGGTCCTAAATCTGCATTTATTACCTTTAATTAATAGGCTTAATCAATTTTATTCACCACTCAGTTCTTTTGCTTCACATTTTACAAATTGCTATCCTTGTTAAAGTTGCTATTGCTCTATAGAACTGAGTAACCACTCTGTTGTAAAGAAAAAACAATTACAATTCATATTATATACCGAAGATAATGTTATTTCAATGTTGATATATTGATGAGCTAATTCATAATAGTATTACTTTGGTATTTAATTATAAATGATTTGACAATCTGGTGTGAACATGAATAGATTAAAGCAGTTAATAAAAATAATCATCATCAACAGCCTATCCTAATCCACTGTTGGACATAGGCCTCAATAAAAATCATACCATTTGAAATTAATAGTGAGTTTAGGGGTTTTATGTGTTTATACATTTGAATAGCTTGCTTAGTAATATAAAGAATATTTTTTAGTTAAGAAACGTTTACTCATCGATTTTTCGGCATCTTATACGGAACGCAACTTTATTACACCTATTCGTGCTATGACTGAATATTTGTTAAAGCAGTCTGATCTGGAAAGCCTACCAAAAGTACTGAGAAGGTCTCCATATGAAGCTGAACCACCAATAACTGTATATTATAGAAAGGATGTTGAAGCTAAAGCTATTGAGGTTGGTGGAATTTTATTTCAAAAGATTGTTGTATTGTGTTGTTTGTTTTATATATTGTATTCATTTTAAGGTGTGGGGTTCAAAAGAAACTTTAGAAAAAGAGTTGTTAAGAAGAGAATTAGATAGAAGAAGATATGAACAAGGTGACTTGAACACAATCATAAATTTATAAATATTTATGGATAATTTTGATTTTAATTTTTTTAAGAATGTAACTGCTTCATGTTTAAATCAAAAGAAAATATAACTAGAATAAATTCCACGTGGACCAGGCAGCAGACAGGACTCAAACCAGCACCCTTCGCTATCTGTATAGTGCATTCGCCTGGATAGCGAAGGGTGCAGGTTCGCGTCCTGTTTGCCTGGTCCGCATAGAATATTTTCTAGTTATATTTTCTTTACATTTTTTATTTCTATTGAGCTTAAATATGTATTCTAATTCCATCAATCAAATAATATAATTGTATTTATGACAACATACTTTGCTTTTTAGATGTCTTTACTGTAAAAAGGAGGTTAAGAAATTACAGACGAGAAATGAGCCACAAAAGATTAAGACCGGAGAGGGAAGAATTGGGTTTAAAAACAAGATCTGGAAGGGTGGTACTGACAGCTATTGGAATGTAAGGATCTCTCTTTTTCTTTCAATCCAGCTTTTTTTTTTTATTAAAATCAAAAATGCTTTTTATTTTTCAGTAATGGGTGTAATTTTGTATTTAAACTGTGTGCTTGGTTTTACACCGGTTCACACAGTTTATTTTCAGAATGCATACACTCACTAGCAGATACTGTCAATCAGTTAATTTTGGCATATGGAATACATAAATCTGTACAGGTTCGTAACATTGTAGTTTTTTATTCTACCCACCATAAAATTTTCATTGTTTTCTACTTTCTACTCTAATGGACCCTCTTCTATTCTCTTTAATTTATTAAAGCAATTTGGTTCATGCGTATTTTATGTTACTGGGAAGACTTATACTATATATTCCAATATCATGCAAAAAATTTTGTGTAAATTGTAGTAAATAAGTGCCAGCATAATCGGCCTAGGCGTCAGACTGGCTTTGTGCTATCTATGAATCCAGTCTGAATTCCGAAGCCCAGTGGATTCTTTCAAGATTTTTCTTTAGCTTTTTGAATGAAGCTTTTTTATTTTAAGGCTCAAAAAAAATTCGTTGCATGATGTATCGCAATTCATGTAATGGTGACATTTGAATTGCTATGAATATCAATAGGATACTGAACCTATGTCAAAGTTATTCTTTTGTTATATTTGTTTCTTAGGTTTTCACGCACATCACTCATTATTTCAAATCCTTTGTTATTTAAAGTTCTGATTGGGACAGTCTGATAAATAAGGAATTAATGGTGTGAAGGTTGCAAATGTTTAACTAATTTTTCTTGCTATTTACATAAGATTTCCTAATGTTTTTTTTCTAGATTGCAGATCCTGACCATCCTTATGGCTATACAAATATGCGATATGTATCTTCATTGATTTCTGGCGTGGGTATTTTTTGTGTAGGAAGTGGATTATCGTTCTATCATGGTGTGACCGGTATTTTAGATCCACAGCCATTACATGACTTCTTTTGGGTAATCATTTTATTACTTTTAATTATGTAAGTTGATACTGAGTCATCATTTCGTTATTGAAAACGATTTGCAATAAATGTATTGGTATTAATATGTCATGTTAAAAACAAATGTTGTCAATAATGATAATACTGACCCATTATTATTTTTCTACATTAATTTTTCAAAATATTCTGTAGTATATATTCTCTTCAGTATTTTTTTATTTAATTAATTTGTTACTGTAATTGTTTCTATTATTATCCATACATAGATTATGAATGCAAAAGTGTATATGTGAATGTAAAATATTACCTATTCACGCTAAAACCACTAAAACTATTTTGATAAAATTTTATATAGAGATAGTTTGAGTCCTGGGAGATGACATTGAATAGTTTTTATCCCAGAAATCCTTTAAGGCCAATTTAAGTTTCTTTTTCTTTCCTTGAAAAGACAATTGTAAACTATTATTTTTTAATAAATTAAACTATGTATGTCTAGTTTACTGTTACTTTCAACATATTTATTAAAATAAATTTATTACAGGCCTATTTCGTTCTTGGCGGAGCAGTGGTCTCTGAGGGCGCAACTCTTATTGTGGCTATAAATGCCATTCGTAAAGGTGCCAAAGAAGCTAATGTGCCCCTTTATGAATATGGTAATTGGTATTACTATTTACGAAAACATTATCTGCTATACTAGACTGGTAGCAAAAAATTACAATGAAATGGTACAGCTGCGTGATTTTAACATCTGTGCTAGCATAGTGTTGTCACCTCTAGCCAAAAAAAAAACAGTAGTATCTAGCCAAATATTTGTCTTTGGTATTACGATTTTAGCTGAAGGTTTGCGCTGCTCGTCTGCCTCTGCAATGCGAGCAAGAAATAGATGATCATATTCAGCTTTAAGGACAAATGTCCAGTCTTATGACAGAGCGGCCAACGAAAGAATCCGATCCTGAAAGGTTGTGTGAGTTCCTAATGGTGACAGAAACAGAGTCTATTTTCGGACCTTTTTTTTATTAAATCTAAATTCTACTTAATTCTGTCGCCATAAAGAACTGACATGATCTCTCAGGATCGCATTCTTTTGTTAGCCGCACTTTTACTGCCAATTCCGGCATTTATATGTTAAAAGATGGCAAATTCTTCTTTTTAAAAACGTTGAATGAAAACATGTTTTTTTCACAAGTACAGAATTCAAAACCATTGAGGAAGTTCCGTTTAAGATAAATTTTCTGTTTATTTTAAAATCTACTTTAAATTTATGAAAAAAATATACCAAATTTAGAAAAAACTAAGGGTCTTAAGAGTTTTTTTTCCTGTATTTTTTTTCAAAATGGTAAAAACATTTTTTTTTATTTTGCATCAGATGCTCTCTGTTAACTGCTTTCACACTTCAAACAAACATAAAACGAACAGCTAATTCGAGTATTTTCCCAAACGTTGTGAGTGTTCCCAATTGTTGAAAGCTTGGTTTGTATTTTCAAAAAGTTACTAAAAAACATCACCTGATTATGGACGACGCCTTCCACTATTAATATCTTCAATAATTTTCTCCTCAGTGATGCGTAGCTCAGATCCTTCTGTGAATGTAGTACTCCTAGAAGATACTGCAGCGGTAGCCGGTGTGACCGTAGCCGCTTCGTGTATGGCAATATCGCAGTACACTGGCAACCCATTACCGGACGCTATTGGCAGTATACTCGTCGGTACTTTACTAGGAGGCGTTGCGTCTTTCATCATACTTAGCAACGTCAACGCGTTAGTTGGAAGGTAAAACAATACAGTGTAGAAATTTTATATCAGGTTTTACAGCTAATCAGTCGTTTCCTTTTTGAAATATTATAAGTGTGAAAGCGACTTTGAATGTTTGTTCCTAAATCACGCATAAACGACTGAACTGATTTGGTTGAAATTTGGCACAAATATAATTTATTACCTGGATTGAGACATATGGCACTTTTTGTACCGAAAAAATTTTAGGTTCCTGAGGGATTCTCAAAAAACTAAAGTTAATGCGGACGAAGTCGCAATCGGTCGCTAGTGAAATTATATATAAGCTTTACAACTAATCAATCGTACTTCGTTTGTGTTAAGTAGCTAAATAAAAACGCTTGTATTTGGGCACTTTAATAGGATGCGTTGCGTCTTTCATCATTCTAAGCAACGTCAACGCGTTAGTTGGCAGGTTAAATAACGTAGTATATAAATTATATTATATATCTATATGGTTTTACAGCTAATTAATTCAACACTAGCAGCCCGTCCCGACTTCACACAGGTGTATTGAATACTGTGGAACATAATGAATCGGCAATCTCCAGATTTTTCAGCTTAACAAAAAGTTTCTAAGTAAATAGGTCGAGTATATTAAACCTATTTGGCCATGGGCATGGCCATCCTGATTTTTCTGTTTAGCAAAGTTTCTTAGGTTGAATATCTTTCTATCCCGGAATTTCCAAGGAAACGGGAACTTCGTGGTAAAACTGCGGGGCGCAGCTAGTAATAACATATTGGAGCAAATTTGCTAGATATATCTTATAATGAACTTGCTATCCTTATTTCTCGTATTAGAGATCGAATTAAAAAAAAATATGAAACAGGTTTTTTTATGTTTCAGTTTAGTTTATGTATGCCAAGTTTCAAAGCTGTCAAGCTATGCACACTTTGAACCTCTATATCACCCAATTCACGGTGCAATATTCAAATATCCTTTCCCGCTTGATGCCTATGCCATTTAAGCAACTTATTTATTAAATATCATGTCTCTACGACCAAAATTAGACGTGCATTGACGCACTATTTCAAATTTCAACATGCTATCACTTATCTTAACTTACTTATCTTTGTTTTATAAGGGTAGTTTTGTAGTAAAATAAAAATACGGATAGTATTTTAATTTTATACAGACTAATCTGTATTAAAATTTTGCACACATACTTTTGCAAATTTTTAATAAATCCTATGCTCTTTTGGATGATCTACCATACAAATTTTGTAATTTTTGAGAGTAGTTATATTTTTTTTTGTAACAGACTTAGTGTACGTCTACTAAATAATGTTTATAAAAAATTGCAATCAATAGGTCCAAGGGATAAGATGTTTACAAACAAACGTTTTTTGCATATTTCACGCTTAAGAGGCTGAATTTCATAAAATCCTATCTTATTACTTGTTTAGGCAATTAAGCCTATTTCTAGTCGATTTATTTAATGTCAAATGGCTGGCAAAGGAGCATGTAGCCGGTAAGTAGCCACCATAGCTTGTGATACAGAAATATTACTCGCGCCGTTGCCTAGTCTGACCCAATCTCCTACCCCGTTTAGAACATTACCCTCCAAAAGAAACACAACACCACCATAAGGTAGTATTATTTAACTGTGTAAGGTGGAGGTTACTTCCCCAGACGGGCGCTCCAATTCGAACGGAGAATCCGCTATGCCCTACCTATCTTATTTGAGAGGCTTTTTAAAATTAATTAGTACAAATAATTCCGATTATAATGACGATCTCCGTGGCCGAGTGGTTTCTACGCCGAGTTTTAAGGTGTCGCCTACTCGGGTCCCGGGCTGGAATCCCGGTCGGGGCAGATGTTTGTGTGGTGAATACGAGCATTTGCACTCCAGTCATGGATGTTTAATATGTATTTCTAAATGAATATACTTATATATGTACTGTATATGTATTCTAGCCGTTAACCTAGTATCCCATAACACAAGCCTTACAGTGCTTACTTTGGGGCTAGGCTAATGGGTGCGAGTGTTGGAAATATTTATTTATTTATTCCAGTAGACTGAGATAATGCATTTCTTTTCAGATCCATCCCCCAAGAGCAGTTAGATGAAATAAATAGTGTGTTAGAAAGAGACTTCATGATAAGAGCTATTCATGATGTGAAGGGTATCGATATAGGTAGCAACCTCATTAGATATAAGGTGTGTATTTAAATCAAAAATCTACCATTCAATATGGAAAATTTTACATGAGCACATTTAATTCTCATGAATAAAAAAGTTGTTGAGAGTTTGTGTTGATTAGAAATAAAGAAGCTCCAATGGATATGCAATAGGACGGATTCGTCCCGCCGGTAAAAATGTTCGCTGTTATGCTCTAGGACTACACAACTACTAAAAATTACTTGCAAATTTCAGAATTATGTTTCATCATCATCAGCCTATTAATATCTCCACTGCTGGGGCATAGACCTTCCCTATGGATAGAGTAGGCAGATTGGGCCATGCCCCAACACGCAAGTCCAATGCGGTATGGTGGGTGCTAACGACTGCAGATTCAGCCGGGACCAACGGCTTTCCGTGCCTTCTGAAGCACGGAGGATAGTTAATTTTTGCTCTTCCATTCAATGACCGACCACTAAGAAAGTTGCTTAACTTCAACGATCGTAGCCGAACGCGTTAACCACTGCGCCATTGAGCTCCTCGTTACATCATATAATAAAAAATATTTTTTAATAATTATTAAAATATACCTACATAGCAGGTTTGTACGGAACCCTCAGTCCGACTTGCACTTGGCCGGTTTTTTTTATATCAGTGTAGGTAATTAATTACCAAGTTGAAAGACAATGGACAACCTACTAGCTAATGCTTAACTGAAATTTTGAGATCTCGTAAGAACTGTGTTTATAGTATGTAAAGACCTATCAGATAACATTGAATTTTATACATTTCAGGCGGAAGTGGATTTTGATGGCCGTGCGCTTACTAGATCTTACTTGGAAAAACACGACTTGAATATTATTTTAGAAGTGAGTAAATATAGCCTTCGACGATAACCTATTAGCTAGCTTATTTTACAAAGTAGTAATACGTTAGTTTTAATTTTATTTTAAAAAATGACGCACTATTTGGAGTTGCTTGAAATCTTTTCTGTCATTGTATCAATACTAAAAATAAATATTTTACAGGATATGAAGAAAATCGAGACAATAGATGATGTCGAAGCATTCCTTCTTAAACATGGTGAAAATATAGTTGACATGCTGGGTGGTGAAATAGACAGAATAGAGTTAAAATTGAGGGTAAGTTGTTTTTTTAATAAACACCATACAATAAATAATTTTACTTTTTCTTCTTGCAAAGTAGAAAACGATAAAGTTGAAAGATAACATGAAACTTAATTCATAATGGCCGCCTTTTATGCATGTAATTTACTATTAAAGCCTATATGTCATAAAAGCTTTTCTTTAAACAAATATTTTTAAAAATCCTTCATATCTTGTTGCAGAAAAAGTTCCCACAAATTCGGCATTGTGATTTGGAGATTCTGTAAATTTGGAGTCTGCTTCGATTTGACATAAGCATAAATTGTTCTAAGATAATATGATTGTTTAGTTTGTTGTAACTATGTCCATGGAATTATGTGCTGATCTTTTCAATTACATATTATGTATAAAGAAAAAAAAACCGCAGGCATGTAATATAAAAACAAATACTATTAAGGAATAGTATTTTTTTTTATGTAACGAACAGGATTTATGAATCTGATAGATGCTATGCACATTTTTTTATTTATAATGTTTGGAACATTAATAACGCCTACAGGTTGTATCTTAACCAAAACAAGAGCGGAAATGCGTGCCGAATTCATTTTATTGCGTGCGTAAGTTGACTGTATCTACGCACACAAATATATGATTTTAGTGTTAACGAACTGAGCCAGATATGGCTCCATAGAGGTATAATAATAGAGTGGGGAAGGCGGCTCTAGAAGTGTCCGTCTAGTAGAAAGAGAAAGAAGATGAGAGACCGATAGCTATCTCTCTCTCTTGTGACGCATGGCATCTAATGGCATCACATCGAAATAGTAAGATACTTACGGTTGCCAATGCGCATGCGCGATTATAGAGTGAAAGCTAGCGGTCTCTCATCTTCTTTCTCTTTCTATTAGAGGGACACTGCCACTTGTAGTAGAGTCTATATCTCCCCTAATCTATTCCCATACCTCTATGTATGGCTCACTTTGAGTTGCGCCTTTTACATGCGCGTACTAGGCTCCTATAACTTGAAGCCGTTAAGTACGCGAGACGCGGTAGAGGGCGGCGGTCAAGCTATAGGAGTTATTACTCTAAGGTTTGAAAGCTTAAAAGTACAGAAAAAATGTCAATTGTCAAATTTTCAACAGATGTCTATTTCCTGTAATATCCTGATTTCCATGAATTCAAATTCCCGTTCCCAAGTTTAATTCCCACTTTATTAAATTACACCAACCACGTAACAATTTGACATTAATGTGAAGGTTTACATTTCAAATTCACTTTTATTGAATATTAGAATCCGATAAATATCTTACAGTCGGCGTGGAAGGTTCCGTTTTGTCTTACTCTACTGAGGCCCAAGCACATTTTTGACAGCTCCGTACGTATCGCATCGTCAAAGTTTCTATGAAAACTAAGCAGCGCCCCTATCGGACCTAAGAGGAAACTAGCTTTTTCCATACAAAATTTGTCAATCACGAAATTAAGATACTATCCGGAGCTGTTAAAAACTCGCTCTTGGGCCTCTGATATCTAAAAGAAAGTGACTGCAATAACTGAAACAAACTTAAAAGTCAATTTAAGTCATGAGTTGTCTCTTGTTAAAATCTTATCAGTAAGAGATAAAAATATAAATATTGGCTTTCAAATGTAAAAAAATTACATAAAGTTAATGTCAATAAAGTTACGCGGTGGAACCTCCGATCTATGCATTACATGCATACGACAATAAAATGATGTAAATAGTTTATAATAAAAATTTGGATTATATAATGTAAATGTAGTTTAAACGTATAAACAACTGAACCGCAGATTAGAGATAAAATTGGTCTGCACTTGTTATTTTTCTCTTGACTAAGGACTTTTTGAGAATTATTTAGGTACCTATTATTATTACGGTTTGATATTATTATTTTTATGTCAAACAAGCTTGTAGGCCACTTGGTGATAAGGGGCCACAATATCCTACATAAGCCTGCGATTCCAGAATATTATTTGCGTGTTGCCACCCTGACTTTATTTCTAGACCTTATCGTTATTTATCTAGATCACCATAGTTTTGAAGCATAGGTATTGCAAAAAATATTTTTAATTGTGCCTACAGTTTTATCACAAATATACAGTCAATATACCTTATCATTTATTTCATAGATTTTTTAACATACAACTGCTAGTTACAATAAGCAAACTCCGGTAAGAGATAGGCCTACTAAAGCTTTGTTGCCAAGATATTTTTATTACAAATACTATAATAACAACTGTAGCTAAGTAAAGGAACCAGATTATCCTTACCTTATACTGGAGGTAAATTGTTGAATTAATCTTTAAAACTAATGAAACATCTAGTCAATGCATCATAGATATCGCAACGTTCTGTCATAAAATAATTTTTCTTCAATCTTGATAATATCGTGTTTCTTTTCTTTATTCACAATATAATATTTAACAAGTTGATCACATAAATTAACATGGAGGCTAATACATGTTGTGTTTTAAAGTACATATTCTAAGACTGTGTTTGTTGTTTGCAACACCGTTTTCAAATTTTATAACTATAATGGGACGAGTCGAATTCAATAATACCACGTGAACACTTTTGGACTCGTTTGCTGTAAAATGCATTTGCCTTTAAGTTCAAAGGTGAACTTCTAAAGGTCACCTTTACCCTTCTAGATACCTACTGCGACAAAGTGCTCACATATTATTAAATTCTCTGTACCTACACAATATTATTTATAACTCGCATCATTAAAGAAAGGAGTCGCAAATTACGATGTAAGACAGTGGTGCCAATTCTGTCGTGATTCTCTAAACTTAAAACTAAATTTAACATCAGTCTCTCCTTTTCATTCTGTATAGAAAATGACAAGGATATACTGCTGTTAAATTTAAGTTTAGGTTTAGAGAATCATGCTAGAATTGACACCATTCTGTCACTCGCAAATGCTATCCTAAGTAACGTGCGAGAAAGACAGAATGTCTTGCGTCGGCAATTTCGATTCCTTTCTATAATGACATGAGTTATAATCACTTGTCTATTTTCACTTTAAAACGTATTCAATTTGTTTTAATATCGTGAACGTGTACTACGTACGAATGTTATCATATACCGGTCTATGTGCAGTTTACTTTTTTATACGCCGTCAGTGATAGAATGCGATTAAAAATGGCGGCGCTTCTATTTACCTCTCACTCATATAATTTGGCAGTCTTTAATAAAACAATGCCTTATAACACAAATAATTCAAGAACAAATGCCACGGCAACACTTTTCATTCGTAAAACTATAAAAAAAAACTCAAAAAATGATGTTACTTACTGAATCGCCATTTGTTATCAAGAAAAGGACAACAATACAGCTCTGCCGTCTGTAGAGAGAGAAAAGAAAACGGAGTCGTCTGCAAAGCGACGCGGACTCGCCGTTTCGCCCGTGCTGCGTTGAAGCGTATTTACAGAAGTGCGCGTGTATGAGAGTTTCTTTTGCTTATGTACTCGTAGTTGAGTCAGAGCATATTAAATGCTAATATAACCGTACCGTATCCTCCTCTGGTTGTTTTAATCTAAGGTCTTCGCTGTATTCCAGATATTTTAATAAAATTACTTAGAATTCAGCAGGAGACTTTGTAAGCCATTTTTAATCTCATTCTTAATAACAATACACTTAATTGGCAGCCACAAATTATATAAATAGTTACAAATTTTGACCAAGTTATGGACATAACCAATCAAAATGGAATGTAAACATGGCTATAATTCTGATTTTATCACCGAAAAATTAAAGAATATTTCAATTACACAATATAAGCTAAAAATAAATTATTCTTGAATTTTCTCTGTGATTTAGTTATAATTGTATATTTATCTTTGTATTATAAGTGTATTAAAGTATTGTGCTACTGGGCATTTTAAATAAAAAAAAGTACAAAATGGAACTCTTATTCTTTCTTTTATAACTTTAAATAATCGATATTCTCCTTGTTGATAATAAATACGTACGAGTATATACGTACGTAACGTACGTACGCACGTACAATGTCATATACATTCTGAAAATGATGGAGAGAAAAGGAAAGCTGGTAACTTTCTTGTGCAGTACCCCAAGCACGCACAACTAGCGAGAAATTATTCGTATTGCCATCGTCAAGTTTATATGGAAACTAACAAAGCAGCGCCCCTAACGGACGGACGTAAGAACGAACTAGTTCCGGCCATAGAAACTTTGACAATGGCGAAAGGATAAATAGACTATCTCGCTTATTGTTCCTGCTTGGAGTACAGAGGCCCAAGCACCGGTTTTTGACAGCTCCGTAAAGTATCATAGACTATGATACTTTACGGAGCTGTCAAAAACCTACTATGATTCATAGTAGGCTATTTGACAGTATCAAAAATAATGTACCAATTGTTGGCACCTGTATTTAATATGAATATTAGCAGCGATTTGACTATTCTGAAAGAACAAATAATAACTTTTCTACAAATCATTAAATAGAAATGAATTTTTTGCTTAGTGGTCACGTAACCGAAAACGCCTGGGATTAGCCAAGAGTAAAATGACATCACACGCTAGTAAACTTCCGGCCAAAGTGACTTTACATTGTATTGTTTGACGTTTTAATGACAGTCGTGTGACGTCACACACTAATGAGACGCCATAATGTCCAGGAAAACGTTACGCGGTAACTTGAAAATTTTATTTTTAATAGTTTTTTTTACTGAAATACACAACAGAATTAAAAATAGCCACTTTTTATGGACTCCATAAACATTAGGTCAATAAATCATTAAAAAACACGAGGTCGTTATCCAAAAGCTGTCAAAACCCTATTTTCAAATTTTGTATGGAAAAAGCTGTAAGTATTATTCTTATGTCCGATAGGGGCGCTGCTTACGGAGCTGTCAGAAACTCGTGTTTGGGCGTCTATCAGTGCGGTGTTTTTTTATTACTGTATGAAGTCTAATGCTCGGATTACACGAGGCTTGTTTCTTAAGCTAGGATAGCAAGCTAGTACTTCTGGCTTCGTGTAGACTAAACTAGCTTAATTTCTAAGATTTTAGTACGCTGTTTTACAAGTCAGGACACTTTTTAAAAGGTTGAAGTTCTATTTTTTAAGGCTAGCTTGCTATCCTAGCTTGATAAACTATTCTCGTGTAGCCCAGGCATTATTGCACCGAATCCATTCTTTATTCCATTATGATAAATCCAAAGAAAATTTTATTAGACAAAAAAACCACGCGGACCAGTCAGACGGGACTCTAACCCACACCCTTCGCTAACCGGGCGAATGCACTGACCATTATGCTACCGCAGCCTTGATGGCCGTGTCTTTTTTTCGATACCTACCATGATCTACCCTTTTTATTGAGTTTTTGTTGCATCGAAGAGAATAAAAATCTATCAATATGTTAAAAGGTTAGGCACTTGTCTATCTAAGCTGTGAACCAGAAATTAGGAATAGTGGAAAATTTTAAAATAGTCTGAGAATCTTACTAATATTATATTTGGAACTCAATCACGCGAAAGCTACTGAACGGATTTGAAGGAAATTGGGTGTGCGTATATTTTATGTCTTGGATTAAGACATAGGATACTTTTTATCCAGGAAAAATGGTAAGTTCCTTTGGAATTCTCAAAAACCAAAAGTTAATGCGGACGAAGGCACGTGAGGGTGGCCGCTAGTATCCTAATATAATTAAAATATAAGGCGACAAAAGTAATATCTATGTAAAAAAAAAATGCGTATTTATTTTGAATCATAATTTAATTAGTACAAAATATAACAATTCCATTTAACTTACATTTTTCAATAATAATAGATCATGGCTTGAAATAAATATTATTATAATATTATGTTAATAGCGCTTCTTATATTGTGGTGTGATATTTTAGGAGTACATCTATTTTACTTTAAAATTATGCGCCATAAAATCAAATTAATACTATCAAGAGTTGCAAGATCTTAAAAATACACACAACCGAAATAACAATAGACTTTTTTACAAATTTCAACATCATCATTTCTCTCAGACTGTTCATATCGACCACCACCTTTTCAATATTGTTTAACCTTTTACATTTCTGTGAAAATTCAAATAGAACAGAGAGCGAAATCTCACATTCATAAATGCATTATGTGGAATAAAAGTGCCCTTAAAAGCCGATTATCACAGCTCAGGATATAAAATATACATGACACAAATTGAACGTGCCATAATATATTTATTTAAAGAACTAGGTACTATAAAAATATTAGATGTTAAACCATGAAAACAGGGAAATATTAATTCATACGGAGGCTTTCGTCTGCGGCAGACATAGATTATAATGAGCAGATTTATTCCAAAAATCTGATTTCTTCCAACCACACCATCCTTTGTTTATGATTATCGAGATGTCTTCTGCACCCGTATAGTGTGGGTCTAAGATGAGATAACGTGTCTCGTTTGTTACAGAATTGTATTCAACTCCTAGAATAGTATGAGCAAGTACACCTCCACCTGAAAATAAATTTTGCATAATTTAAAATAAAGTCTGTTCACAACTTGTTAACATTCCACCTAATACTGATATTATTTACTAAGTAATTTTCAGAGATTTTTATTTAATGTTAAGGAAGTCGTGTTTGTACAGCCAACCACTGGTTCTGAGACAAGCACGAATTTTCACAGATCCGTAATTGTACCGTCATCGTCAAATTTTGTATCGTGCTTGGGCCTCTGAGTTTTGAATAGCTTGATGTACAATTAATAATTTAATATTTTTGGTAATGATAACTAGATTGTGTGGATGTCAATTACCTTTAAGTTACTGCAGTAAAATTTAATAACTTCTTCTGTTAGGCTAGCTTAAAATACACTAATGATTTTTTTATAACAGAAACAAATACAAAATATAGCTACATAAGCATTATTGTTAGAAATTGACACAAAAATATAAACTTACCGATCATAATTGGGCTACCATGAGTTTTAAAATGGTGAACTAGCTCAGGTGTATAACTTTGCAATTCGGAGCCAGTGTTAGCAAATATGATCCGCGACTGTATTCCAAAAAGCGTTTCTAAACAAAACATGACCTCTGTCGAACCAATCCATTGCTTTGAACCAAGAAATGATGAAGGCTTATCACCAATTTTAACAAGGCACTGCTGAATTTCTCTATGAGTTGGAACTTCTACCACAGTATAACCCTGATACCTGAAATAAAAGATTGATAATGATATATTATATCCTATCCTACCCTACTTATATTATAAATATGTAACACATTTATAATATAAGTAGGCTGCTTAAATTTAAGTAGGTTTATAAGGTTTATAAGAAGGTCTATAAGTGTTATATTGTGAACACCTCATCATGTACTCAAATGCATGTAAATATTTTCATCATTATTGTTCTTAATGAAAGTATTATAATAAAATTGGTATTTACCTAAACCAAGAGAAAATGGTTTGCATCGAGCGATATGCACATCCCCATCCGTCATCATTGAAGTTGTCTTGCATGTAATGGTAGTATGCGTACCGTCCTCGCACTATCGCAACGGTTACATCGGGCTTTATAGGTTGTACGGGAACCGCTTCATGAGGATTCACTATGCGACCACTGCTTTTATCAAAATACGCATTACCTCGACGGAATAATGGCTTGTTTAGAGGCAGCGCCAACTGTTGGTGAAGTAATCGCCTCTCATTTTCTAAACAGAATTGATATGTACCATTAATCTAAAAAAATATTTATTTTTCTACTTACACAAAGCACTCCCAGTCTCCCACTACATTATGACATAAAATTGAATTCTACAAAGTTGGAGCGTGCGGGAAGGGTAAGCTGCGTTTTGATTGGATATGTCAGTGTGACATCACGGTCAGATGAATAATTTGATGCAACCATGTATGGCGACGTTTAAGCAGTATTGCTGCATAAACCCTGGCACAAGCAGATGTCTTTATATGTGGTCAACCCCTCCTGGGGTTGGTTTTTGACTACTAATTACTTTTGCTATCTGAACTTACCCATGCTTTCATCAGGTATTCCTTTAGGCACTACCCTTGTAATGAAATGCCCAATATCTGGTGGCAAATAGTGAAATGTTTCTGGTAATCGCAGGCCAGCACCGTCGCCGATACCTTCCTGCCCTGAGAAACAAAAATATTTAGAACATAAAAACACTTGACTAAAATGAGAAACTGTACTAGATTGATGTTTTTGAACAGAAATGTTGTAGTTAATATTTATGGCTCAATTCCATAATAGCAATATTGCTGCTGTGTGTAAGAAGAAGCATTAGATATTTATAAAGTAAATTAGATAATAATATGCACAGTGAAAATCAAAACATACCTATTTGCTCTAATAGCACACTTTCCAAGAGTCGAAGGGATCGACAGGACGCTTCCACTAAAACTGTGTATAAATCAAGTAGCTTTGTGTTCCTATTGATGATAGCCAGTGTGTCTATTTTTAATGGCATACTTATACAAAATGCGGCTGTAATGAAATGTTAGTTATTTAATGATAGTACATACACATATATTCATAATAACAAAGTTACAACAGGGCATGCCCTGAACACCATTAGAAAATATAATTAAATGGGTGTCTTTATTACACAAATTTAAAGTAAACTATTAAAATATGTCTTACGTTTTCGCTGTGTCGTCATCATCTTAACTGCTGTTTTAACTAATTTTTCTGACAAAATATCTTTAGTAGTTTTCATAACTAGGTTCACAGGTATAATTTCCTGAAAAATTATTATTTTAATTTTATTTTTGTTTTGACTTGTACACAACCACATTGAATTTTACAAATGGTACTGAATCAGTAAACAATTTTGATGGTGAAAATTAGTATACCTACTAAAATTTACATCTGAACTTTAGTAGAGTTATAAAGATAATTTGAATTACTTGTTTGTAGTTATTTTTCCTAGCTATAAACAATTACATAAAATTATTTAGCATACCACATTATTAACAAGTTGCTTTTTCTTTTTGGATGGTTCAGGGCTTAGAGAATCCACTAATTCACCAATTGTTAAATCTGTGCTGGTTCCAGTTAACCCAACATCTGAAGCAACTCCAAACAAGTAAATAGATGTGCCATCAACGTGGAACGATACTTGCCCTGACGCTATCTATAATAAAATACAATAAATATTTACATAACATTTCAACACAACAAACCTGCTGGTTGACATCACTAATTGTTGTCTGCATATTTAAAAAATCAATTTTAACATGCTGTCAACAACAATCAATTCAATATGTATCACCTTCCAATAGCTATATTACGTTTTGGAGCAGGGAGATCTTGCATCTATACTCTTTATACAAATTTAAATGGTAATATCACTTTTAAAAGTTTTGGGAACAAATGTAAACAAACTTTATCTCTCAATTAGTTACTGTAAGTTTAAAAAGAAATTTCAAAGAACCTGATCATTTCATTTGTTGTTTATCGTGGCTCTACAAAAACTTGTCACTAAACTGTATCTGGTTAGGAGTGCCAATCTCACTGTTTACTCTTTAATATTGCACTACACATACACTACAGAACACATTTGTAGTATCAGTAACAAAAAAAAGATTCACAAAAGCAGCTATAAAACTAGATAATTTGTTACAATAAAATTCATGAAATATGGAATTACCTGTTTTCTTTTACTTTGAAGAATGCTCTTTACACCTGCTATTGTTGCTTCACAACTTAAGGGCAAAGTGGTGATAAGGCGAACATGAATAAACTGTTTCCACATATCATTTGATTCTAAATTATCATACTTTGTTTCTTCAAATTTTTCATGCACCAAGAAGTGTGCTTTGATATCTCTTTTATTATTAAGAGTAATAACCAAAGGGTTATCAGTTATGTCAACATCCTGAAATCAATTGTTTAAATGACAATGACAGACTGATAATGTTGCAGGTTTTTACTCTACCACCTCATTGAAGTAATGTTAAATGGGAACTACAAAAACACTCACCTGTAAAATTTCTTTTAACTTTGAGCCCATAGTTAATGTTTCATCAAACTTTATGGCACCACATAGTTCTATTTCGGCTGGCAGATTGAGAAGAAGTTGGTTATATGTGTTTTTATCATTTTCATATAATTCTAAACTCAATCCTATAACAAGTAAAGTGCCATCGTACATAAGTCCAAAGAGACATCCTGCACTTTCATTCGTATCAATCTTAGATAACCTCTGTAAATTAAAGAAAATAATATAAAAAATCAGTGAAATGAATCTAAAATCTTAAAAGTAACAGAAAAAATACAATGAATGACTTTATTGGTAACATTTAAGGTTTAAGGTTATGTTCTTAGCTGAATGATTATGAATAGTGAACTGATTTACTAAGCTGAAATTTCAGTAGTTATTAATACTAATTGTACTTTAATCAGAAACAAGTATCAATATTTTTTATATAAGTTTACCTCAATCACATATTTCGATATTTTGAGACGTGGTGACATTTTAGGATAAATGTTGCTACTATAAAAAAAATTTGGATATCAAGCAAGTTAAGTAGTTGCCCTTTGCAATTAAAGGGACCCATTCACGATCCTGCATAGCCTTTGAGAGCCTTTGGGTGCGGCCAGAGTGCACTCAGATTCAGAGTCAGATTCAGATTCTGAAAATAAGCGCGAGAAATAAACAGTGTAGTCTAAGCAGATTGCCTGCTTTTTCTCGCGCTTTGTTTTCTGAGTCTGAATCTGAATCCGAATCAGGAGTGCAATCTGGCCGTACCCTTCGACTACACTGTTTATTTCTCGCGCTTGTTTTCGAAATCTGAATCTGAATCTGAATCTGAGTGCACTCTGGCCGCACCCTTTGGTGGTTTTCCAATGGAGAAGTATACGCAAAGCTCAACATAGATGGCGCTACAAACGCTTGACCCAAACCACAGCCGAATATTGCAGCTGTCAAATTTTAAACGAGTTTTTTTGTTGTTAAAAATATTAAATAAATGGTGAAAATGTATTCAAATTAGTCTGTAATACAGCTGAAAACAGAGTTAAAAAGGAGAGGAGCATCTGCGCAAGGCAGAGGCAAGCTGATCTTTTAGAAAGGTACTGTTTTTATTATTATGCTACAATTTCTCGTTACATAAATGAATTTTCCATAATTATTTTAATAGTTCATGGATCTCAGTAACTCTTAGTGGGCTCATTAGTCAAAGCTATCAGTCAGACATCCCATAGAGTTAGGTTACCTCTGGCTAAAATGGGAAGTATAACATTGGATTTTTTACAGACTTGAGGCAATTTGACCGCAATTTTAATTTTGGTGCAGTTATTTCTAATCAAAATGAAGACATTCAGATGCAATTACCTGCCCCAGATACATACCATGATGTAAACAGGAGCTCACTTCTACCCCCCTTTTCACAGCAGCATATAAAAATATATTTTAGTCGGTAAGCATGCAGTTTACTCACAACAACCGGGATCTGCACAACGCGGCATTTATATTTTGTTTAATAAAAAGCTTAAAAATGAATATAAGCTAAAAGGTATGTCTTTGATAGAAGTTTTGGGTCAAGCGATTACAGCACCCCTAGTGCACAAATTTTGCAGATTTCTAGTCCATTACAGAGAAATATAATGCGACTCTGTGGCGCACAATGCCGAATTATGCTGATGCTTAATGGGAACGTGCATTAGTTTTCAAATGCACCAGCAGAGTGCGCTAAGTTCAGTGTTGAAAAAAAAGTCAATGTTTGTACCTTCATCCATATTCATATTTAATTTTTTAACACAGTTTAAATTAACTTTGATTATTTAAAAAAAACTATAATGAAACGAAAGTTTTTATAATTTTCCAACCATAAATAATATTACTAACAATAACATATAAATAAAACATTTCGATCAATGCCAACTTAAAGAAAAAACACTTGTTAATTTTCTGTCTCTGAGTTGGTACGATTGCACGCATCAGACGAAAGCACGAAAGCATTACTTTTTTTGAGAGTGCTTCGCACAATCGGCGAAGCGTTGCTGTAGTTGAAACACTCAACGTTAAGCATTATGCCGCATAATGCGCTATAATGCTGTAATTGGAAAGCTACCTTTGACTCAAAGTGCATAATCAGTCCACCGTGCACATAGATACAGGTGTAAAGTTAAACAGAGTACCTGTAGCAAGTGTACCAAAAAAAAATATTGAGCATGTAAGCGTATCGGCACGGTAATATCAGTATTGTGGCTCCGCCCTGTCCTTGAAATAAATGCCTACGGCCGAGCGCTGCGTTAGCACGCGGTAGGGCCGCCCGCCTACAGTATTATATGTAGTTTTGTTTTTAACGCGAGTGTAGGTAAATTACACGTTTGTCTCTTTTTTCATCCTAACCACTTATTTATATATTATTCCAGATATTTTGCTCGATGGAAAAATCGAAATACCTAAATATTAGAAACAAATTACGTACTAGTAGATAGGTATATAAAAAATATTCTATAAAGGTAAGACACCTTTCCAATATTTCAGGTAATTTAAAAAATGATATTTCTGGGTGTGTTTTTGTTGCAATTGTGCTGTTGTACGATATTGATCGTCGTTTGTTCTTTTCCATACTAAATTATGTAGGTATCTACTTAATTCAATCAAATATTTACAATACAAAACGCACGTTTAAGCACGGCTAGCTGCATAAAAAACAATTCACACCGTTCGGTCGTCGTTGCGGCGCGGCGGCGGCGCAATACAATATTAGTCTATGGCGGCGCATTCGCGACTGGGTGCCCGCCGAGAATGCCTCGAACTCGAGTGGCGTAGGTATGACTCGCTTTCCGACTTTTTTTGTATGAAGATAGAATACTGTATGATATTATTACCGTGGTATCGGTGTTTCATTGTGAATTTGTGAGTGATAGTGTTGCCAATTCTGGGGTGATTCTCTAAACACGAAATTAAATATAGTTTTAAGTTTAGAGAATCCTGACAGAATCGACACTTTTTTACGTAAAACAAACTTTACCTTATAGCAAAATTGTTTTCTTTGTTTCTCAGAATTTCGAAATAAACTATCTTTATCACACGGCTTGACAGGACCAATGTTGGCTCCTCTTACTTACTTTATTGGACCAAAGGTACAATATGTTGCGTTTCTTTCTACCTTGTAGGATTGTTGTAATAGCATAATATTTAATCTTTTCCTCACTCTGTCAGTCTTTATATATGTCTTTGTATTTTTCTTTGGCCGTGCAGGACTCAAACTCAAGACGCATCCTGCTCGGTGTCATAGATTTAATATTTAAAATCTATGTACGGTGTTGCCGGACGCCATGCAGGCTGCGACAACATTTACAATCCTGCATATAGAGGCGGAGGGCAAGGCGGCCTGCCGTAAATGGGGGCCTTAAATCAGATATCTAATGACGACACTTGAAGGCAGAAGATAATTTATTTACGTGTTGTGTTGTTGCGCGATCGGTTTCATACATTTATTACCGTTAGAACTATGATTGTATGTCACGATGTGAATCCGTGTGACGACACTGTTCTCACTCTAAGCATACTAAATGTATGAAACAGCTTTTAGCTCTCTTACGCGTCACAATCACAACACATCAGCTAAATGTAGTTCTGCCATCACTTTGCTATTTGTAAACTTGACATCAGTCTGATCTTATCATAATCTACAAAGAATGAAAAGGACAGGCTGATGTCATGTTTAAAGACGCAAATATATTAATCTGATATGTCGTGTCGTAACGCGCCAGAGATGTATCGGTTTCATACAATTAGTACGGTTAGAGTGTATACGGTGTCGATACATCGCGTCACACTAGTATAATTTTAACCGTAATATATGTATGAAACCGATACCTCTCTGACGAGTCAGGACACAACACGACATGCAAGAATATTTGGGGCTTAAGTGAAGTGCCGGATAAAGCCGGGTCTCCTGTGCCGTGTGTTTTCGTGTTTGATAAGAGCGTTTAGACCTTGTCGATGACCGTTGTTCCTTATTTAACCGGATCTCATTTCTATTGTGTAAGGGATTCCCACACCCATTGGTAACACCGCAGTATAATAATTATGCTTTCAAGCTATTTCGGAATCAAGCCCGTCACAGACGTAGCTATAATATATCGAAATATATATTATATTATAGCAAACTACCACAGACGGGAGCTATACTATATATATATTTTGCCCTCACTCGGTCTGCGGTCGTTTTTGCAAGCGCACGGTTTTAAAGCTTATTTTCTAGCACAGGTGTTTTAATTTTGAAATAACGTTATAATCAATCTTACCGAAATGAATTCGACAAGAGCACTACTTTTATAGGCCTACCACACGCACGAGCTTCACCACAGTTTTGCCTGCGCAGGCCGGTTTGTACACGGAACACGGTGCGTGTAGTTGGTAAAACTGTATCACGCGCCAACCCCACAGCGCGGCCTGCGCCAGTGTGACCAGATTGAATATTACGAAAATACCGAGGCACCTCAAAAAAATACTGAAATATACCGACTTACATAGGACAGATATACCAATAGAAATACTGATTTTCTTAACACATTTTATTTATTCATACGTACTTACAATAAATGTTAGAGTTATATTTTAACATCCTTTTCGAAGGATTAAAATTTACACAACCTCCTTTATTTCTTCACGCTCTATCTAATAGTGCAAACCGCATTAAAATCGGTCCAGCAGTTGTAAAGTTTTAGGCGAACATACATTCTGCAAGTCTGATTAATACTATGTATTGATAATTGTATATGTAGTATTACAATACTACAACGCCGACAACGGCCGTCTTTCTTGTCATATCTGTAATTTACTCATAGATAACATGTTTAGGTATAGGTAAACTAAATCCGGGGAAGTCCCCAATGTTCGCGTTCCGGGGAATTCCGCAAACATTGTCGCAAAGACGATCACTCACTACAGTGTTGCCATAACTTCTACCAAAATATACCCAAAAATACTAACTGCCAGCAATATACCTGAAAATATACTGATGTTCGAAAAAATCGATGAAATATACTGAAAAAGTATTAAAATACTGAATCTGGTCACACTGGCCTGCGCATTTTTCGACTTGCTTGAAATTTTGCCTGCGCAAGCCCGGCCTGCGCGTACTTGTCTATGCGTGTGGTTGGGCGTTCAGTGTTCAAGTCACAGTCGAGTGTACTTTGTGTCGAGGCTCGCTCGTCGTTTCATGAGGTCGTTCGTCATCGTCACTCAAAAATGGCAGATTTGCGTACGTACAATCGCGAATTCACGTCTGAATTTATTAGTTTATACAAATCTCTGCCTGCACTCTGGAAAATTAAATCTAACGATTATTCCAACCGAAATGAAAAGAACGACGCCTACAAAAGAATGATAAATAAAATGAAAGAGGTAAGAACATAATTTTTGCAACTAAATACCTATGCCTAATACCTACTACCTACCTACTTGCACATATCCTATTGTTTTTACATGTTTTTTTTAATAGCAAACACTTGAAAAATAGTAGCATAAGTT